GGTCATGATCCTGGAGTCCCGGGATCGAGTCCCGCATCGGGCTCCCTGCTCGGCAGGGAGTCTGCTTCTCCCTCTGACCCTCTTCCCTCTTGTGCTATCTCTCATTCTCTCTCTCTCAAATAAATAAATAAAATCTTTAAAAAAAAATAAAAAAAATAAAAAATAAAAATAAATAAAAATAAATAAAAAATCTGTATGTTAACGGGAAAATCAGAATTGAATGGCAAACAGTAAGACTATAAAATGATCCTAAAGAAGTTTTAAAATTCTGTATTCATAGTAGTGAGTTCAGAGAAGGTAAGGTTCAATTTTCTTCAAAATGACTAACTTACACAAGAACCCACATCATTTACATGCTCCTAATTTACATTTTCTCATAATGTACCCTATTTTTCAGTTCCATTAAATTTCTTTTTTTTTTTTTAAAGATTTTATTTATTTGACAGAGAGACAGCGAGAGAGGGAACACAAGCAGGGGGAATGGGAGAGGGAGAAGCAGGCTTCCCGCCGAGCAAGGAGCCTGATGTGGGGTTCGATCCCAGGACCCTAGGATCATGACCCAAGCCGAAGGCAGACGCTTAACAACTGAGCCACCCAGGCATCCCTCAATTTCCTTTCTTAATGTTTCAATTTCTAACATTTGTTCTTAGGCCTCAGAAAACTCCACCCTGGTATCATTCCTCGGTGCTGATATTCTCCATTTGCTTCTCCCCCACTGTCTTCTCCCGCCTGCTCTACAGCCCAGGAGGGCTACCCTTGCTGGCCATCTGCTAAATGGCCTCAGCCCCTGGGACACACTACTTGCAGGAGATGGAAGGGAGGGAGTAGAGAAAAATTGGGCCATTCCTTCCTGGTCCCTCCCTGCCTCAGTACTGGGTCTCTGGCAGAGCTGCATCCCTCCAGGACCATCAATCAGGCCTCACGCCACAGCTCCAGCTCACTCCAGGCTCCCCACTCAGCCCTCTATCCCTTGTTTGCTGTCTTAGGACTGCCCTGCCCATGACTCCGTCATCTTGATTCAGTCTTTATTTGAAACATCTGCTGTGAACGGTTTCCTGCCAGGACTGTGATGCACACCCTACCCTTACAAAGCACCCTACCCTTACAAAGCACACACTTTTTTTTTTTTTTAAAGATTTTATTTATTTTTATTTAGATAGTGAGAGAGAGAGCACAAGCAGGGGCAACGGCAGGCAGAAGGAGAAGGAGAAGCAGGCTTCCCGCTGAGCAGGGAGCCCGATGTGGGACTTGATCCCAGGACCCCGGGATCATGACCTGAGCTGAAGGCAGCCGCTTAACTGACTGAGCCACCCAGGCGCCCCACAAAGCACACACTCTTAACACTAGACAAAGGCTTGAAACTCTGAACATCAACAAGTTTCTTTAGTGAACAGTTGTAGGATTTGCTATG